GATGCTTGCAACTTCATAGATAGGTAAAGATCAATTATTTTATTGCTTGATCTTATTAAAATATTTTTCCTTTCATTCTGTTGTATGTGTACACTTCTAGCAAGCACAGATTATTGTAAATAATGCACTGAAGCTCTACTCTCAAGACAAGACTGGGATGGTGGATTTTGCCTTGGAATCTGGAGGTAAATAGTAGAGGAAACACCATTTTACTGTTCATGCTCTTTGTAGTATTTACTAGAAATATTACAATGAGGAGTAAAGCTTAGTAGGGCATTTTTGTGTGTTGCCTGATGATCACATCATTACAATCTGTGATGGTGTTTACAGGCCTGTAAACTGCCTAAGTGTGCATGGACATGGATAGAATAGTTCTCAATATGTCTAAAACTGGATGAGAAAGAAATGAAAGACCTTTAACCTGTTCTTAAAATAACATGTATAGAAGCATTGTATCAACACAAAGTTATTAGATCTTAACAATATCTTTATCTGGTATTCATTAAGCTTTATAGAAATCTCTGTCTTAATTGCTCATTCCTTCTTGAAGACTTCTATTTCTGCTAACCTGCTCTGTCTTTTTTGAGGTGGCAGCATTCTGAGTACTCGCTGTTCTGAAACCTATGAGACCAAGACAGCATTAATCAGCCTCTTTGGAATTCCTCTGTGGTACTACTCCCAGTCTCCCAGAGTGGTGATTCAGGTAATGAAAGGCCAAGTAAACAAATGCAGCAGTGATATTTTATATGAAGTGGTTTGGGTGGCTCTTTGTGTGCTGGGTGTATCTCTGTGATGGGGCACAGGTACTTGGAGCTGTTTCTAAGAGTGGCATTCTTCTGGCAGGCTCTGGGCACAGTTGAAGTCCTAGTGTAGCAAAACTGAGAGTCACAGGAGGCTTGAGTGCTGCACTGGGCTTGTGCAGAGTGGGAGGGCTGGGAGGGTTCCTGCTGAGAACTCATCTCAAGGCAGGTCTTCAAAACACCCCTGCTAGCTCAGGTGGGTGTGCTGCCTTCCTGAAGAGTTCCACCAAGGAGATTCTTTCTGCACCTTACTGTTTAAGACTGTCCCTAAGAATTCAGAATTCATTACAACTCTTTATTGCAATAAACTAGAAAACATTGCAACATTGTTTTTGTTGTTGTGTCCCATGTTGTTGTCTCCACCTTCCTTGTGTGCAGCCGGACATGTACCCAGGGAACTGCTGGGCTTTCAAAGGATCCCAGGGCTACCTTGTGGTGAGACTTTCCATGAAGATCTATCCAACTGCCTTTACCTTGGAACACATACCAAAAACTCTTTCACCAACAGGAAATATTACCAGTGCTCCTAGGAATTTTGCAGTATATGTAAGTCTGTCTCTGATTTTGAGTTGATGTTTGAACACAGAATATTTGTGTTATGTACCTTGGAGGAGAGTAACTTGAGCAAGGACAGCTAAGATGATAAACTGTTACACTCATTGCTCTTAAAAATTGCTTTTATTTATGAGCTTTGAGATTATGAATAACACGTGTTGCAACTAATTTTGTATGAGCTATTTACTCTTGCTCTATACAGTAGTAAACACTGATGGAGGGACATGATGTTTTTTTATTTGATCTAGTTTTTTCATACATTTTGTTTCATCCTCCTTCCCATTCTTCCTCTCTCCACCCACTATCCCTCCCATTTTGTCTCTGCAGCTTAACTGTGATGTGCCTTAAATAATTTTTTTAGTTCATTTTCCCCAGCACCACAGTTGTGTAGGCAGGATTTCAGAACAGAGCAGAACAGACCACAGGGTATATCAGAGAGCAGCTATGATATCTGGGAACTTTTTGTCATTTTTCTGAATGCTTAAACAGTCACCTGTAAGCATCTGAATCTTGACTTCAACCTTGATGTTCTCTCACTGTTTGTCCTGAACAGTTTATATTGTACACTGTGATAAGGGTTTAGCCATGAAAATTAAAGGGCTTGACCATGAAAACATGTAAACAGCACAGCTATTTACAGGGCAGGAAACTGGAATACACAGCTGTGCTTGAACTTTAAATTCATGGGAAACATTCTGATCCTGGCTTCATAAACCTTCAAGTGCTGTCTCTTGATACTCTGTGTAAGCATGCTTCTGGTTTGGGTTTGATTGGAAATTCCATTGATTTGATGGAAGTAAAAATTCTTCTGCTGCTGTTACAGGGTCTGGATGATGAATATCAAGAAGAAGGCAAGCTTCTAGGAGAGTATGTCTATGATCAAGATGGAGAACCACTGCAGATGTTTCCAGTGATGGTAAGTCTGGATTATAAGATGTAAAGTGTCAGGAGAAAGGTACTTTTATTTTCTACACTTGTGTGCAATGAGCAGTGAAGGAAAAGGCCTTGTTCTCATGTGGGCACTGTAGAAGCTGAGGTTTGTGTCTCAAACCATGGCCTGAATAGATGAGAGGGGAGAAGGGTTTGTTGCTATGTGGACACAGATGGGGGAAAGTTGCTAAACATGGGGAGAGTCTGTTCCATGCTGCTTCAGGCTCACAAATAATTGTAAGGCAAGGGAGGTTCTCAAAGGAACAGAAAATTCTCAAGGCATAGCTTAGGTCCCTGCAAGTACCAACAGTCATTAATAACTAAGAAAACTTCAGTTGCAGATGTTTATGCCAGAACCCTGACACTGATTTGTGTGTTTGCTTTTTCCTTGTCCAGGAGAAAAATGAAGATGCATTCCAAATAGTGGAGTTGAGGATTTTCTCTAACTGGGGCCATGTGGAGTACACCTGCCTGTATCGGTTCAGAGTGCACGGGAAACCTGCCCAGTAATGCACACTACAGCTGGGGGTGGCTGCTTTGTACATTTTGTTCCTAATCTGTATATACTGGGAAGCCTACAACACTGGAATCTGTAAAGGATGAGGATGCAAGATGCACACTGCAGAACTGTTGATCCTCTGATAAAGGCAGAAGACTGTCAGCAGAAATGTATAAACCCCAATTTTAATTTACTCTAAGGCTCAGCTTGTAATTGCCAGTTTGCTTCATATTTCTGTGTCCATGCTGAGAGAAATAATGCATGCAAACAGCTCTGGTTCATAAAGCCCAGTTGACAAACAGGTGACACACGTTTTATTACAAATGAATGTATAGGTTTTTTAAAAAGAATAAACCACACTTTCTGCAACTAGGAATCTGTTCTTTTTTAACCCAGGACTCAACTGCATACTTTTGCTAGCTTGGCACCATAAGCCAAAAACTGTGGTACATTTTGAACACTGACTGTGGCTAAAGGTGTCCTTCAGTTGACAGTTGGTTGTAACCTTTTTGGTGGATCCAAAAGGGCTTCTTTGCTACATGTTAAATATAATAAATACTACTGTCAGGGAAAGCTAACACAACCAAAACCAGTTTCAACACCAGCGACTGAGAATGCTTTACTGTAATTTGTGGCCGTGAATTGCTCTAAAAGTCAGGGATAACTTCAGTTACTTAAAGTTATTTTAAGGGTTTTTACCATGGCAACTTGGCCAGTTTGTTCTTTTTTTAGTGTCAATCCCACATCGACCTTGATGTACTGACTGACGGGCTCGGAGCTGATAAGCCTGCTGAATTGCTCAGTAAACACTGCTGTACAGCAGCTGCACTACCTTACTTTGTCCAAAGTGGGACAAGATTTCCTTAGACTGGTTGATTGTTATTCTCCTTTTGTACTGTGAGAATTCAGTGTGTGGAAAAAAAGCCTGAAGCAATTCTCGCTGCGTCACAGTTACCAGAGGGACTCGAGCTCAGCGCTGCTGGTGCAAACACGGGCATTCCTGATCCTCCCCAAAGCCTTAGTCGGGTACCAGAGGAGTAGAGTTGCTCTTGGAAACAACATTTTCACATAGAACAAAGTGAAACTGCTTGTTGCCCCCCTTAGCCTTGCTGCTTTGAAGATCCTTTTCGGAAAAGATTCCTGAAATTCACTTGTTTGCAGAATTTTTATCTTGCTGTTCCTAGTGCATTTTGTAGTTACACAGAACTGTTACACATGGACCTGCTGACTGGTTTTCTGAATTGAGTTATGTATGTTGCACAACAGTCCTCAAATGTTTGAAATACAAAGTCTCCATGTGAAGAACTGTTTTTCACTCGACCTAGAGACAGAACCTATGGCCTACGCAGAGGAGTAGATGACACACGTACAGATGTTTTCATATTATAGGTTACATATTTAAAATTAGAATTATCCTGTATAAATTGAAATTAGGTAGCTGGGGGGGGGAATATTTTGAATAACACTAACTTATTTTTAAAAAAGCAAGATAGGACTTTGTGCAATGTATTTTTGTAAATGCTTTTCAAAATGTCTGTTATTCTTTGCTGCCTCCAAACTGACAAGATGCTATTGAGATGTTTAAATAAAGAGTTTTAATTTTTGAAAGTGCATGTAATACTTGAAACAAGAAATAAAGCCTCTTTTCTGTTTGTTTTTTTTTTTTTTTAATCAGGTGCTTAAATAAGTGAGGAAAGATTCCAATGCAATGTGATTCCAAAGCTCCGAGCTGGGGCAGGGTTGGGGGATTTCACTGAGGTTTTTACAAGGGGCAGGGGCACAAAGCTGTGAGGGGCAGGACCAGGAGCAGCGTGTGGCTGGTGGGGCCTGGGGAAAAAGCACATTTGGGGTGGGGAAAAAGCACATTTTGGGTGGGTTCTGGATCCTTTCCAGCTGTGTGGAGGATGCGGGGTTGCTTTTACTCCTGTGCCCTCAGCCTTGCCTGATCCCTGCGATGCAGCACTCCTCAGCCAGGTTCATTGCCCGCCCTCCATCCGCCGTTCCTTGATTTTTATTAAGGTTATCCTGCGGTTTCCTGCGCTGTCGTGGTTCCAGGCCCGGCCGTGCCGGCCTCGCGTCCCGGACTTCCCCTCACGCCGTTCTCAGTGGCCGTTACCGCTCGGGACGCCGCGCGCAGGCGCGCGGGCTGAGCCTCGCGGGCCGCCGTCCGAGCGGGCGGAAGCCGGGCAGCGGGGCGCCGGCGCTGCGTGCGCATGTGCCTGGCTCCCGCCTCCCCTCCCCGTCCTCCGCGCTGATGGCGGCGGCGATCATGGCGGCGGAGCAGGAAGCCGCGAAAGGCGGCGGCGGCAGGAACCGCGGCGGCGTGCAGCGCGTGGAGGGCAAGCTGCGCGCCAGCGTCGAGAAGGGTGACTACTACGAGGCGCACCAGATGTACCGGACGCTGTTCTTCAGGTAGGGCCGCGCCGGGCCCGCCGCGCCGCCCCTCCCCCGCCCGGCCTTCCAGAGCCTTCCCACGCACTCCGCTCCGCTGCCGCCCGCCGCGCCCACGGCCGTTCTCCATTGGCTGCAGTGCCTGTCCATCTCCGTGCCCCGCTCTCTGATTGGCCCGCGGGGGGGCGGGGTGGGGCGGGCGCGCGGCGCCGGCCCAAGCGGGGCCCGGGCCGGGCCGGGCTGGGGAGCGGCGGCCCCAGGCTTGGCTTGGCTCGGCCCGGCTCGGCCCGGTTCGGCCGCGTCACCGCCCTCGGCCCCGCCGGCTCCGTCCGCGGCTCGGGGCGGCGGGGCAGCCGCTGCTTGCCGGATTTTGGAGGCCAACCCCGGCCCGGCCCGCGCCCCGCCGGCCCGGGCACTGTCCGGTGAGGCGCCGGGGCTGTTGCGTCACGCTGCCCGCAGCTCACGGGCAGAGCGCAGTTTCGGCCCCTGTCCCCCAACGCTGCTCGGTGGCCCCACGTTCCGGCCAGGCCGAGTGAGGCCCCGCGGCCAGCGGGATGGGCCGGGGCTGTCTCCTCGGGTGTCCCCTGGCGCTCCGGTCCGGGCTCGCCCCGTGCCCCGGGGCTGTCCTGGAGCCGAGCCCCGCGCAGCTCTGCCCGCTCCGTGCGAGTGTCAGCGGCTGCCGTGAGGGCTGCAGGGTTTGGAGATTGGTTGTTGCTCAGCAGGGACACGGGGTTACTTTGTTTCACGGCACGGTCACCCTGGAGCCGCGCTCGGGAAGGGGCAGCTCTCAGGGTGGCCAGAATCGCCTGCACCGAGCAGCTTTTTGGAATAAATTCCACTCGGTGTAGTGTTTGTGTACGTGACAGTGACTAAGTAGAGCAGGCCTGGGCTTTTATGCTACTACTGCCTCTTTTGTCATAAGGAGATTGTTTTTATTGCAAAGCATTTTTAGGCTTCATTTTTCAGGTCCACTGCAACTTGCAGGGGTCACCCTTTCCTCATCAGACTTTAACATGGAGACCCTTGCTTGCAGGAGCACAGAAGAAGGTGTTTGTTCTAGGGGCTTCCTCAGCTGCTCCCAGCTTTGTTTACTTGTGATTCTGCTGGGAGAGGGCAGGATGGAAATTGATTCACAGAATCAATTAGGCTGGAAAAGACGTCTGATGTCATCAGGCCCAACTTTTGGTTTTCATCACCTGTCAGCTGGACAGTGGCACTGAGTGCCGCATCTGGCTCAGTCCCCCCATGTCCCTCAGCTGTTGTCATCAGATTCAAGCTCTGGACCCTTCCCCATCTTCATTGCCCTTCTCTGGACACATTCCAGCCTCTCAGTGTTTTTCTTGAAGTGAGAGGTCCACCCTCCCTGTCCTGTGTCCCCTTTTCTCAGCCCTCACGTGTGTTAGGATGAGAACAGGCCTATGAGTAAGCACAGAAAAATAGAATTCATGGAAGAAAGTGGGGAGGAAAGTCCTTGGTGCATAACCCTGCTCCCAGCATACATCAGCCAGCCTGCCCTGCCCTGCCCTGTGTCCCTGCACCATCACATTAAATCAGTTTGTTCTTCCATAACCCCTCTGATGGGATCAGCCAGGCACCATCCAGGCCTTAAGACTTAAATTGTATTTGAGAATAAATCTAAATTTAAGACAAAGCCTGGCCTATTTTATAGTAGGGATTATGTGATGTGGTGTCTGCAGTGGTGTGAGAAGTCTTGCCTCAGGAGGTCACTTCTCCAATCTTCTGGATATATTAACTCACATACTGAAACCTCCCTGAATTAATTTGGAATCAAAGATCCTGCCTTTTCCATTTTAAGTACAAGTGAAAGGATGTGTTCAGTTAAATGAAAGGGTGACATTTGCATGGCTGGGTAGTCTTGTCAATCCTCTGTAAAATGTGATAAAAATCAGCATTTTTATTTATGGACACATTAATGCTGATTGGGGTGACCTGAACTCTGGAACTGTGATTGGGTTAGCCAGGGCTTATTCCCTTTAAACACACAGGCCTGTGAAACATTTGTCTCATCTGTCAGAGGGTGAACTTGAAATCCTGACTCAGTTTCATGCACTGAGCTGTATTTTAGGGTGGAGGAGGGGAAGAAGTGGAGGAGGAAAGATTACCATAAGCCTGCCTCCTGCAGAGTTATTATCCCTCTGTGATCCACAGAGCAGGTGGGAAACTGCTGCTCCTGCCTAACCCTGAGCTCCCCCAGCCACACCTGGGCTGGTGCTGTTTGCTACTCCCCAGGCTGGGCTGAGCTCTTCTCTCTTCATCATTTGGTAACTGGGTCACTCCTCAAAGTGTAATATCCTTGTGACATCCATTTCTATTTCACTGATACTTGTAGGTCATTTTTCTGGTGTAAATAATGTGTTCCAGAATTTCTCTTGTTTTAAATACCATTTAGAGCAATGTCATCAAGATTTATTTTTATTAAACAAGTTTTCTGATAAAAGTTCTTTGAAAAACCTCAGCTCTTTAAAATGTATTTTATATAGTAAAATTGTTTTCAGCAGCTTTTAGTATTGTCTGTAATAATTCTCAGATTAGGAGCTTCCACATAGCATTGTGAATCTACTGGAAGTAGAACTTGTGGAATTGGATCCATGCTGAGTCCAACTCCTAGAAGCAAACCTGGAAGGGAGCCCAACTATAAAAACACTGGAGCTGTGGATTCATTTGACTCACATTTACCATGGTGATTGAGTTATTGAGAATTACTCCAAAACTACCATTGTGCCTTCCATTATTTCAGCTCTGTTTTGGATAAAAGACCTTGGTGTTTCTCAGAGTTGATGAGCAGGATGGAAGGAGTGTTTCCTCTCTTGTTTGTTGTCTGTGTGATGTTACCAGCAAGGGACACGTGTGACAGGAATCTGGGGCACAGCACAAGAGGTTTGGGATGCTCTGGTTGTCCCTTTGGTTGGTGTGACCCCATGGCCACGCTGTCCTGCTGTCCCACCAACCCCTCTGTTACCCCACGGGCCCTCCTGGGCTTTGGAGCAGCCTGAGGGGCCCTTCAGGGGCTGAGGGGCTGCCCTGAGCCCCAGGAACAGAAAGGGGTGACAGGGGCACAGCCCAGCCAGGTGTGTCACAGGGGACAGACCCAAGTGCAGGTGCCAAAGCAGCAGGGTAGAGCTGTCGCCTCTGTGATATGAACAAATCAGCAACTGAGAGCACGGGCTTTTTGAGTAGCAGTTGAGAGAAATGGAGTTTGGAAACTCTGCCACACCTGAACTGCTGTTATGGGAAATGCTGTGTTTATAAGCTGGGACTCTCCAAGAGCTGTAGTACTGGCAGTGATGATGTGCAGGAGGCTGCAGTCACAGCTCTGTGGTAAGAGGTCCTGAGGTAACCACTGGGAGCAAATTCTTTAATTCCTTATTTCTTCATTAACTCTTAAGTGAGAAAGGTGGAAGGTGTGTTTTGAAGCATTATATTTTGTTTCTTCTGAAGTGTTGCATGGTGAATCTTGCTGGCTGTGCTTGTCTTGCTCTCAAACCCATGAGGGATGAGCTCCTTTCGTTCACAGAGGGCCAGGACAGGCTGATGTCCCCTGGCAGAGTTGTTGTGGTCAGAGAGACTCAGAGAGACTTGGGCCAGTGGAAAGGTCAGTGAGCTCTCCAGGAGATATTCCAGAAGTTGTTTCACTGGGATGGCTTTGGTAGAGGCTCAGAACATTTTGCTCAGTTGAAGTCTTGAGTTCATTCCCTTTTCTTGTTCCAGCCCAAACATATTTGTAGCTCTCTCCATTTTCATTCTTATCTTCTTTGTATTATTCCATCAGGTCTAAAGTAGAAAATTGCTTGCAGTTCAAGCTACATCATTATTGAAACTAACCTGATTTCAAAACAAATCTCTTGTCATAATTTTAAATTTTAGCCAACTTTTAATCCTTCAAATATAAGTAACTTTAAGCATATACAACTTACTTAGTGGTAATTTTTGTCATGGCTTTGCTATTTTTTTTCAGGTATATGTCACAAGGAAAACATGCAGAAGCAAGAGAACTAATGTATTCAGGGGCTTTACTGTTCTTCAGTCATAACCAGGTAAGTCACTGCTTTTGTGTGTGTGGTTTGAGGGCAAGGAATTGTTACTCCCAAGATTTTGAGAAATGAATGGTGAGTTCCCAGTAGTAAATATTTGGGGTAATTGCTTTGTAATCTTTTGTTTTATCTCTTTGTTGAGCCTTTCTCCACAAAGAATGGTTATGCCAAGCTGGAACATGCAGCAGTAGTGTTTGTGAGCATCCAAACAATGCCTGTGTTCTGCTTTCCTGGAGGCTTCTCTTTGATGCCATCAAATCACTATAATTTTTTTATCAGGAAGGCTGAGACTTGATACTGTGCCCTAGCTGTTGATAAAAGCATTAAACCTGCTGCTGCCAAAATTCTGCTTGATGTTTCTTTTTGTGCCCTGATACATTCATCACTGCCAGTATGTGTCTGTTTTGTAGCAAAACAGTGCTGCTGATCTGTCCATGCTGGTGTTGGAGTCTTTGGAGAAGTCAGATGCAAAAGTAGCAGAAGACCTTTTAGGTGAGCTGACCTCTGCTCTTGGCTTGGTGGCATTTAGTTGTGCTTTCCCTTCACAGTGATTTGTTAATGGTCTTGAAAGTTGTAATCCTTTTTGGATGCTTTCCCAGCTCTGGGGGAAACTTTGTTAGAGAATTGTGGGTTCCTGATGACTCTCTGGGCATGCTTGAAACCAACACTGCTGCCTGTCCTAAGGATGGATCTTGAAACTGCATTAGAAGCAGCAGATCAGCTTATTTTTCTTAATGCTAAATATTTTTCAATCTTGTTTCTTCTAGAAAATTTGGCTAAATTGTTTAGTTTAATGGATCCAAATTCTCCTGAAAGAGTGGCTTTTGTATCCAGAGCACTAAAATGGTCCAGTGGGGGATCAGGAAAACTTGGACATCCAAAACTACACCAGTTACTAGCTATTACCCTGTGGAAAGGTAAGAAAAATCAACTGGCTTTTCTGTGTTTTCCTTTGAAAATGTTGAAAGCAAGGTGTTACAAGAGATCTACTTTGGGAATAATCTAAAGAAGCTGAGATGGAAATGATTGATTGATTGATTGATTGATTGAGTTCTGCTATTAGCTGATTTTTGCATTAATGTCTTCTTAATGTTACAGGAAAAAAAATGGGTCTATAGCTCTATAATAGTGCAAAATCCAAAACACAACTGCAGAGAGGCTCTCTGTAAAAGGCAGATTGATCCTTTAGACATTGAGGTAGTTTGATTGTGTCATTAGGAGGAAAATTGCTGGGGAGCAAAGATGTTCTGTTGGCGAGTATTTTTGTTTTTAAATCCTGGATAAACATGACGAAGATTGAAAAACATCACCTGGCATCCAAAACAGTCTTTGGACTGTAATTAAGTACTTTTTGAGAAGTTGGCCAACAGGGTTATTTCAAAATGAATGCTATTGCCTTTGATTTATGAGCCATTTTATCACTTGTAAGAAAAACACAAAATGCTCTAAATAATTATTATACTTGTGGATGATAGCCAGTATTTCCAGTCTTGTGTTCAAAACATAGCAAAGGTGATTGAGAACAGTTGAATACATTCCATTTTTTCTGTGGTTTCTCAATAGATAACTGTGCAAGATGATTGTTGATTTTCAGTAGCTGCCAAGTGATGACAGTGGTTTCATGTAACAGCCCTGACCCAGTAATGGTCAGTGCTGCAGCCTCTCTGTGTGCCATAGGCAATTCCCCAGCTGCTCTCCTGGGATTTGGGTTAGCCTGGTGGCTGCTGCCAGCCAGAAAGGGAGGATTCTTCTCACTGCATTCAAGTCAGAGGCTGCTACAATTAGGATAAGAAACAGTTGCATTCTGAAACTAAAAGTCCCCATTTTGTAGCTCACTGTTCTCTTGAAGAGCAAGATGCCTACATTTTCTTATTCTGTAGCTTTTGGAGTTTCATCACAAAAGGCTCAGATTTTTAAAACAATGCTTTCAAATTCAAAATATTAGCAGCTATATCCAGTTTTGTCATTGCTGTGATTTTACACAATCCTTTGCTTCAGGTTCTAACAAATCTTTTGCCATTTCTTACACCATTTTTCCTTTATAATTGCTGTTCTGTTCAGCATATGGAAGTGATTTTAGTTTTGGTAGCAAGAGTGGGCTAAGATAAAAATAGGCAATAAAAAAAGGATGCTGAAGCTGCTGTTGGATTTCTTGGTGCACTTGGTCTAATATGAAATTTCTTGATTCCTGTCCCAGACATTGGTGATAGCACATCAAGTGTCAGCATTTACTTAGACAAAATGACACAACCAAAGTTCAAGCCAGCAGTAGCTGTAATTGAGTAAACTGTATTTAATAGCAGTTGTTCAAATGTACTTAGAGTAAAATTTATTATCATCTCCTTTTATAAATTATCTGTAACTTACAGACTTTTTACCAGCTATCTTCTTTATATACCACACCTATAACTCTTGTTCTTTTACCAGCTAATAAACTACAAGCCTAATAAATTTATTTTTATGTTCATGTACGCTGAACTGATCTCTTAAAAGCCTTTTCCTTTTTCTTTTTCTAGAGCAAAACTATAGTGAATCTCGGTATCACTTCTTGCACTCGACAGATGGTGAGGGCTGTGCAAACATGCTGGTGGAATACTCCTCGTCCCGCGGCTACCGCAGTGAGGTGGACATGTTTGTAGCTCAGGCAGTACTACAGTAGGTGTTCAACTCCTTCTGAAGCATTCTGCTGACATGACATTGTGTGTGGGACCAATCTAATTTAACCACACAGAAACTGTGAAACTGGCCAGAGCAACGGGAGAAAATTGTCTGAAAATCGATGTGTTAAATTTGTCAGACTGGGGAGAAAAAAAGTAAAATGATGTATTAAGGTCAAGTCCTGAAATTATATTAATTGCCTGAACATTGAAAGCACAACTCTTAGCTTTATTAACACCACTTTAGGTCTAGTTAGGGCTTATCTATATGTTCTTACAAATACTGGACTCAAGCAGGCCCTGTATTTAGCACAGAACTTGCTCTCACTCAGGTCCTAAGAGGCAACTTGTTATGGTCAGCCTGGTCTGTGAGCTGCAGCTTGATGGTTCTTGCCTTGACAGAGTTGCTGCTGGCTCTCATTTTTGGCATTTATTTTGGAGGAGGTGGGAATGCAAGCTATTGTGTGCTTTTGCAGAGCTCATGTAGAATGAAGGTTGACAAAGCCAATTTTACAGTGTTCAATCAGCTGATGGCTTTCTTCAGGCAGGGAAGGCAGCTCATGGAGGAGTCTGAGGAGGAGGTGGAGACAGGACTGTGTGGCAGGGAGTCAGGGAAGAGAGTAGGTGTTGGGGGAGAGGGAGGAGGTGAGAGCAAGTTTGTCTCTCTTTTGGCAGCAGTGAGCTGTCATGTCAGATTTGTCCTGCTTTCCATAGCTGGTTGCTATAGATTGCTGTGATTTTGAGCAATAGCAAATCCTTTATGGAAATCTAATATGTGAAGGACTCAAACAATTTTATGGGGAGAAATTCTGTGAAGAAGTTAAAAGATTATTTTTTCAGTGTTTATACAGTACTTCTGCTGCATCATTTACTGGTTTATATGTCAAATACTGTGTTAAATCCTCTTGCATGGTCATTTATTCTCTAATGAAAATAATTGCAGTTCCTTGCTAGCAGTGAGGCAAAACAGCCCCAAGCCCTTGCACATGTGAGGGTGCAGAATTAGAGGCCAGCCTGCCATCAGAAATGACATGGCTTGTGGCAGCCTTTCTACTGCCTGCTGACAGCATCTGTCCCAGATAAAGGCCTGTCAGGCCAATGGGACTTGCAGAGATTGCCAGTTAAATTAACTGGACCTGAACGAGGATTTGATCTGTTTGAGGGATCGATCTGTTGGGGACAAATGGTTTGGGAGCTCAAAGTACAGCTTTATTAGGAGACTTTTAGGCATGTGTGTCATGCTGTTAGTGGTCCTGATGCCACATTATGTTGAGGTGGAATAAAATGACAGAGTCAACCAATACTGACAGATACATACTAAAAGGAGATGTGTTTGGGGATGAATGGGTCTTTAATTCAGTTTTTAACTCAGCATGGTAAATCCTGGACCAGTAGATGCAATATCAGTTTCATGTGAATTACAGAGTAGTCAGTCTTTCCACATTTTGCAAATTGATGCTCTCTTTTAGTAACTAACCTGTACAATCTGCTTAGATCCTGGTTGAACTAATTCTATAAATATTTAATGTCTGTTTTCCCTCCCAACCTGCCTATTGCACAGTGTGTTCTAGTAGTGATTTTCCCCTTCCTCAGCTGATGGCCAAACCATGCCCAAAGATGTCTATCTCTAACAGTTTTGTTTTGCCATCAGTTCAAGCCTGACATGGCCTCTATGCACAAGTGAAGTAGATTTTGGCTTCCCTTTCTCTGTGGTGAAACCATTTCTCTACCCTTTGTTTTTAACTTGCCCCATTCTCTTTCTTTTTTCAGATTTCTCTGCTTAAAAAATAAGACCAGCGCCTCAGTTGTTTTTACGACATACACACAGAAACATCCTTCGATAGAGAAGGGTCCACCCTTTGTGCAACCACTGCTTAACTTCATCTGGTTTCTCTTGTTGGCAGTTGATGGGTACAGTCTGATTTCTGTCATGTCCTTCTTGGTTTCCTTTTCAGTTGTTAACTGAAATTACATTTTTGGTTGTTTCCTTTCTAGAGGGAAACTAACAGTATTTACAGTATTGTGTGAACAGTATCAACCTTCACTGAAAAGAGACCCCATGTATAATGAGGTGAGTTACTCATAAACAGGATTTAACTCGCTCAAGGAGTGAAATAATGGCTGATTGTCTCCAGCTTTGTAGAGAAGAGCTGGTGATTCACCTTGCCTGGGTGACTTCTGCCCATAGTAAATGAAATAATTGCCTTTTTTCACCTTGTGTCCCTGCAGTACCTAGATAGAATAGGACAGCTTTTCTTCGGAGTTCCGCCCAAGCAGACCTCGTCCTACGGGGGATTGCTAGGTAAGCTCTGCTTGGAGCAACCTCCAGGCTTTGATCAGTGACCTGGATAAAACACCTGTGTTGGAAACACATAATCTGTTCTAAGCAATTTATAATTCTTTTCATAGCCTGTAGGAACAGCCCCTGCTCTAGAAGACAAAATGAATGGGTTGCATGTGAAAGTGGGTTGTGGGAGTTTGTAGACTTTTTGTCACTGAGAAGGGGAGAAGCACTAAAAACTCTTACGGTTAATTTCTGACATTATGGTATAGATAGCTTCCTCATGTAAAGAAGCATCTTACTGGTGTTAAAGCTTAATTTCCTCAGAGTTTAGTGACTGATTTTTCTTCAGCTAAGTATGGGGCTTTGGTAGAGATCTAATCAGTACTGATACAACATGAATGTGTCCAAAGAGGAAGTTCTGAAATTAATACTGCCCTTCAACAAGGACTGAAATGGAATAGAGAAATTCAGCCCTCATTTCCTGGCTCTTGAATGAAATTAGCATAAAATTAATGTTTTCCCTGAGAACTAAGCTTCTTTGTAAAGTGACTTGAAGTTTTACCTGCAAACATCAATTCACTGATACCCAAAGCCTGATGAAAAACATGAACATCATGTTTTTACCATCTGTAATTCACTTTTCAGCAATTCAGGCATCTTTAAATTGATGCCTTTGAGTTTCAGACAATTTTTTTACAACATGATGCAGACTGTATCTGCTTTTTGACAGTTTCACTGCTGGAGGTGTGTTTTTCCTCTTTTAGTTGGGTTTTTCTCCCCTCTGAGGGCACAACTGTAGCACATAAATATGTGACTTTGGGTTTTTCATGTGTATTCTTAGAGAAGGAACAGTATCAGTGTACAGCTAAGAGTATACAGCTTTCCAAATCAATATTCATAATGGAAACCAGTGTGGGATTACTAATGTCTTGGTGAGACTCTTGTACTTCAAAACTCTTGGGGTTTTTTTGTTGCAGAAATCTGTACTGCAGCAGGATGGAAGATTAGTTGAAAGTTTTTTGAGATGTAAAACTAGTGGTTTTGACTGTCCTGTATTTTATTCTAGGAAATCTTTTAAACAGTCTGATGGGAACTGGGGAAGATGATGACACAGAAGATGGTCAGGAAGACGGCAGTCCTATCGAGCTCGACTGAATGTTGTCATTGGGTGCCGTGTAAATCTGATGATTCGATGACTCCAAAGACACTTTTGGAATTTGAATCCTGCAGTTGTTTCTTGGCTCCTAAAAGGGCTCCTCTGGTCTTTTAGAAATGGTTGCTGAAATGTTTATACTGTCGGTCTATATTATTTATGTAAAAAAAAAAAGAAAGAAACCAACAAAAAGTAGCCAAACGAACCAATATTGGAGCGGTTGTTAGTGGGTGTCCGATGCAGCAGCTGGGACTGATTAAACATAGTCTGCGGTTTCTGATGCAGTATTCCCTTTTGCACAGTCTTTAATAAAGCATAAACATGGGGCTTGTCCTTCACGGCCTACCCAATGCCATCTGTGTTCTGAGAAAGCCTCCTTGCCCTCTGCTCTCTTCCAAGGAAGATCTCGAAAGGCAGGGGGAGCAGTTGAATAATTGATTTGCGAGGCTGGTGCCAAAAGTACTGCGAGACGAGCCGAGCAGCATAATTTGAGATGCACATCCAAGAGACATTGATACAAGAACTTGCTTCCACTGCCATGAGTAACATGCACACCCTTCATACTGCCTGCCCCTCTCCCCAAGGCCAGGCTCTGGCTGAGCCCACGCGTGTGTTTAGCCGATACTTCCTGAAAAAGCACAAGGTTGAATAGCTCTTGAGTAAAAGCCCATCAGTGGAAAGCAGGTAATTGGCTTCCAGCTGGATCTCTCTTGCCTAGGTATAAAAATTTGGCATCTAAAATACATCCTGTGGCTTGTGGCTGTACTTTGGAAGAGATTTTGCCAGTGTAAGTTCCCAGCTGTACGTGCAGGCGGCAGCGTTGCTGTGGGCAGGGTACGTGCTTGAACTGGGCTGGATGGCAAGAAAAGGGATACTGCAGAGCTTCTGGTTCTTTATGATATATTTATTTTTCTTGGGTGATTGATTCATTTAACACTTTCTGTTAAAAAAAGAATAAATCAATAAATAATGGAGTAACTTCACCCCCAGCAGTAGGCATAGCCATTCTCCATCTCCTCTGTAATGCAGCACAGTCTGGTACAGGGAACAGGTGAAAGGGTGGGGAAACGCTTTATTTTTTCACGATGAAAATAAAAAGGCTTAGATTAATAAACAGCAATCATGCATGGGGGAGGGATTAATACAAATTTATTGACTGTATGAAAAAAAAAAAAAACATTGACAGGAAGACTTTGTGTTAATTGTGAAGTCTCAAATAAACACTTTATACCAGGATGTGCGATACTGCTGCTTTCTAAGAGTTTCCCAAGCAGAGCTTTACATTCCTTGCTATTTTTTTTTCACTCTGCATTTCACTGTGGGTCATCCAGCCCTCGGTGCTTCACTTCACCTCTGTGCAGTAAAGGTGTAATTCTCTTGGAGCATTGGAATATCTGGAGCAGATGGGGCTTGCATTGCTGTGCAGCAGGTTAAGGGAAGAGCTCCCTCTCCAGGCTGGTGCTGTAGACATTTAATAAATGATCTGGGATGTCAGCAGAGGTTTAGAACCACAGCTTTCATTGCTTTTGGCTGCCAGGAATGTGCCTCTCAGGCAGTGTAAGGTGTCCAGCTCATGTCCCCTGCTGTGTCCTGTTATGTGACCCAGTGTGAGGTTTTTGCCTCGGCTCTGTCTGCAGCCTCCAGCAGCCTCAACTATGAGCTCTGTGTGTACCCTGACCCCAAAACCCCAGCCCTGACAGGAGGGCAGTGCTCCAGAGCTGGGGCACCTACAGGTGGATGTACTAAATGTATATTCACTAATTACAACAGTATATACAGAACTTATGTGTGTGTGTGTATAAAATATATACCTAGGAATTTAAAATACATGTATACACACACACACATATAAACAGCTTTTTGTATAGATAATAATTATATACTTGTATTACATATCATTTATAATATTATTCTTAATTATAAATACATGCACACAAAACAATTTTTATAGCTACCTATAAACACAAAAAAGAAGCCCAGTCTGTCCTCTCCCTGCTTCTGCTGTGCCTGGGTTGGTAAGTATGTGTGAATGACAGTGTGTGGATAACATACACTTATAAATACTTCAAATATAAGTTAAATGTATAATTATAGTTAGGCATACACATGTGCATGCAGATATACACCTTAAATTTGTAAGTATATTTATAAATCATATGTATATAAAGCATGCACATGTGTATGTAATATATCATCACATATTTTAGAAAACAAAGTATAAAAATGTCTATACATAAACAGGTGTGTGAAATACATTCAGCTTATATCATTGTAAATTGAATATGTCTGAGTGCTACATCTGTACATGAATGTGTGCATATGAACACCTCATACATTATATATTACACCTTATCCACTATGCAGTTGTCTGAATAGCCAACAACCCCTTCATAAAGTTTATTTCTCTATTCCCCAGAACCAGCTATCCTTTGTGTACGTGTGCACAAATAAAAAACTATTACAGAGAAAATACACAGAATATGCACTATAACACACACACATACACAAATAATAGCTAAAACAATACACATTTTGTTTTGAGGGTGTCCCACAGCCCTGGGGCCCTGCCAGCACTGGCCCCTCCTTGTTTCCATTTGCTGCTTTTTAACCCCACCTCCCTGCCCTGCCCCAGCACCACACGGCCACGGCTCTGACATAATAATAATTTATTGGTTGGAATGACATTTAGTAGCACAGTTGTCTTACCAGTGACAGAACGAATGCACACAGCCGATGGGATGCTCTCAGATACACAACCACCCGAGGAAACGCGTCGGACAGGTCCGTGGCTGGGGCTGGGCCCCCAGGGCACGCTGGAAATCTCATTTTGGGCTAAAACTCCAGCACCTGGTGTGCAGGTCCCAGCCCGCCCGCCCTAACTGCAGGAATTACAGTGCTCAACACCGCTGAAACGTCACTTCAAGCAGCTTTTTTTTTTTTTTTTGCCTTTTTTTTTGGGGGGGGGGGGGGGGGGGGGGGCAGGAGAAGAAAAATCAACCAGAAAAAAAAATTGGATTATTGGGGGAAAAAGTGCAACCACCAAGTCTGGAGAAGGGATGTGCCTGCTGGGAGTGAGCTGGGACAGGCTTTGATGGTGCCCAGCAGCAAACCTGCAGATAAAGCTCAACACCCCAGCTCCATCCCAGGCTCCCCAAATGGAACAGGGATGACCCAGGGAGCCAAACACAGGCCCGGCCCCAAAGCTCTGCTCCCCCAGCATCACCTCATGGGTTGGTGTCTCCCTGGCAGCCCCCTCCTCCCTGCCCTTTGTTAACAGGCAGATGATGCCCATTTCCTCTATTTCTAAATCCTATTTGCCCCTCTCTGGGTACAGCATCATCTCCAGTCCCCAGGGGGATAATTCACTATAATTCACTTATCATTTACCCCAGCACCATGGCAGGCTCAGCTGCTTTCCACAGCACCTTTCCTGTGTTTCCAGGCTGCCTCCCATCCCACAGGGATGTCACCTTTGGGCACCTGCAGCCCCCTGGAAAGGGCTGGCAGCCATCTGGAAGTGTGGGGATGCTCAGCTCCGGCACCAGGGACCTGAGCATGGGGAAGAGTCCCAGCTGCCCCTGGGATGTGCCACCAACAGTCTCTGCCATCCTGGTGAAGCGGGTGTGGGGCCACCTGTCCCACCCCACAGAGCAGCCACAGAGCTGAAATTCAAGTTGGATCAGGATCTTCTCCGACGTTCCACCGCCGCCCTTCCGACATGATCACGTGAATGATGAGGGGAAAGGGAAGTATTATTATTGTTATTATTATTACTGTTATTATGAATTATTCTTAACATTTCAAATAAAACCACGTTGTGTTGTAAACAGAAGCTCACTCCTCAGGTCTGCCCAGCCAGTCCCAGCTAAGGTTTATGTTTGAAATGGGCTTCCACTGAAAGGAAAAAACAGAGAAAATAAAATTAGATCAAGGCAGGCACTGGCAGGTGGTGGCACAAGTCCACCCTGAGAGGGGTCCTTGCTGATGCTCCTTGGCTTTAGTTACCCCTATAACCATACAACAGCATGGACATCACACTGGAAGCAATGAAGAAGGAAGGATACCGTCCTCCTCCTCCTCCAGGGTGAGCCCCTCTCTGCCCAAACAGCCTTTGCACTCCCTGGGCAGTGAAGAGCTGCCTCACCCAGAGCAGGAGGGAGCAATGCCCTGACCCCCAGTCCCTCCAGCCACCCCATCCTCCAGCCCAGGGCACACAGCCCTCCCCAGGAACACACCTGCATATTCCTGAGGCAGCATTGGCCGGCTGATAACCTTCTGGAAGGTGTTGATCCACTCCAGCTGGTCGTCCTCTGTCTCGCAGGCGAAGAGGAATTTCCGATCCGGGGTGACGATGGTGATCCCGTGCTGCCAGTGGTTCCCCTGCGTGGATGGTGGGAGCCCTTCCAGCACCTTGTAGCTGTTCTCCTTGCTCCCAATAAAAACCTCCCCTCTAGCAAAGGCATCCTAGGAGACAGCAGAGCAGGGGTTAGGGTGAAGGGAGCTCTGCATGCCAGGCACCAGGACAGCTGCAGCAGCCACAAACCCATCAGCCAAACCCCAACAGCACCACCCACAGCCCTGCTCCTCACCCAGGAGCACCCACAATGCAGCACCAACACCAGGGAGCCACGATCCAGATGCAGAATATCTGGTGGACAGGGCTTTTAAAGTGATTTTGGTATTTGCAGGGTTACTGCCCACCAGGCAGAGCCACCAAGCAGTGATAGCCCCTCTTGGCTCTCCCACCAACCTGCATTTTGCTGCAGATCATTACTGTAATTATTACTGCTGTTACTTTTATTATTATCAGTGGTAGTATTGCAGGTAGTTCCCCCCAGGCAGCCCAGGCACTTTCATCTTACCAGGGGATCTTTGAAATACATGAGCCGTCGGTCATCCATGGTGAACCATCGCTTCTTGAACCCCTCTGTTTGCTGGGGAGTCAGAAAATGCCAGATCACACACAAACAGCACAGCTTCTCTGTAACCATGCATGGCCCAGGAGTGTCAAAGCACCTGGAGCAGCCTGATGGGCTGGGGGAGCTGGGAACAGATCACTTCTGGGCCACCAGAGCCACCACAGCCAGGGGCTGGGCCAGCTCTACCAGGAAGGGACATTGGGTTTATGATGTAAATTTGGATTTTTGATGTAAATTTGGATTTTTTTAATGTTTGCTCCCAGGTGAGGAAAGTGCATTAAACACATTCAGAGAGTTATGGCTTTGCCTCTCTGGCAAGGGTTGGTTTGTCCCACCAGCAACCCCTTCTTGGGGCCATACAGAGCATGACTCGAGTTTGGAGGGACTGAAAAATGCTTCAGATCCTACCTTTGGCCCTGTTTTCTCCATGTATCCTTCCTTCAGGTAGTTTCTAGAAAGCTTTGGCACCAGCTGGAGCAAGCAAAGAGGACAGAAAAGAGCAGGGTCAGATGGAGGGGGTCCCTGGGTGTGCTGGGGGTCACTGGAAGGAAAACCCACCCTGAGCTGGCCCCAGCCCTGAGCCCACCCCACAGCTCTGCCCCCCAGCTCCAGCCCTGCTCCTCCCCAGTGCTCAGAAGAGGAGGCTACAACACAAAACACCTTGGAGCAGCTGCCCAGCACAGCCAGCAGCCCCCAGGAGCATCTCCCACACTCCTCAGGGCGCAGGGACAGAGCCACCCTGCAGAAACACCACTGCACCCCCCCAGATAATTGGCAGAAGGCAGGAAATGCAATTAGATTTCGAAATCTACAGCCAAGGAGGAGCAGGGAGTAATCAACAAGCACCAGCAGAGTGATGTTACAGCCCAGGAGCAGCACACAGCCCTGGCTGGCAGCACATCAGAGCAGCCTCTGGAATTGCATTAGCTCAGGATAACACAATTAGCAGCTCCAGCCCCCGGAAAACACAGGCATTTATAAATCAGGCATTTATAAGCCATTTATAAACCAGGCATTTATAAACCAGGCATTGATAAACCATTTATAAACCAGGCATTTATAAACCATTTATAAATCAGGCTGCACTGACCTGCAGAGAGCTCAGGGCACTGACATCCTTCTGCCCTCATCTTCCCTGCCTTCCAGCCTCTGTTTTGGCTTTCGTTATTACAGCCACAGCCTTTGAGCCAGGTGCTCAGGGCTCCTGCAGGGTGGCAGTGCTGGAGCTGCTCCCACAGCCCCTCTCACCCCTCCACAACCATCCCACCAGCAATTACAGAACACTCCGAGGGATGGAGCACTCCCCAAGGCTTCCAGCTTGTTAACAGGAGCTAAAAATGAGCAAAAATGGGAAAAAATAGCCCCACCCAGCCAATGGTGCAGGAGCACTCACATCAGAGTCACTGGCTCCAGGGAATGCCACTTGTAAGTAATGGAAGCGTGCTGCCCGGATGGCGTTGAACCAATCCACGATTTCCTGTTAATGAGGGAAAAAACAGAGTGAGGAGGGCAGCCTGCACACAAAATAACCTGATCCTGCTGGGGTTTGTCTCTCCCATCACTCTGGCTCCAGTGACAGAGCTCAGTGTAGCAGGAATCCTAAAAAACACAGAACACAGCAAAAAGGTGAAGGATGTGGAACACCCAGCTGCTGTTCCAGATGTGCACAGAGCTCTGCAACTTCCAGTCAGCAAAGGGACTTTCTGCAGAGGAGAGGATTTAAACATCTCTGAACTGGCAAAACCAGCCCCAAAAGAGCATTTGAAACATTGAGCTGACCCTCTAAACCCAGCTGGGCTGGTGCAACCTGCCCACCCGGCCCTGTCCCCTGCAGCAGGACACCTGGGCAGCACCTGCATCCCGCCCAAATTCCAGCTACAAACTTCAATGTTTTGATAAAAGAGTGGCTTAACATCCCTTTATCTTTGTATTCCTGTCTATCAGCTGGGCCTGTGAGTCCTTTAGGGACAGCCACAGTGATGCTGGAGTCCAAGAAGCTCTGGCACTTGTCCTTGGCAAAAAAAAATATCTCTCCACTTTTTTAACAATTTAAACAATTATTGCAATAATAATTGTTAATTATTACAATTAATAATTTAAACAATTATTACAAAATATTTGTTTTATAATTTCCTTATTTTTAAACTCATGTATTCCTTTATCTCTGGTAAGACCCAACAGCCTGTGCTGTATATCTGTGAAGGTTTTGCTGAGAAATGCCACATTAATTTGAAGTGTTCCACACTAAAAGGGAGCACTCAAACACTGCCCTGTGGTCTGAGACTGTGGGACAGGAAAGGTTTGGTGGAAGGGAATCAGGAGCTGCCCTGCCTGGGATCTGAGCACAGGGACAGGGATGCTGAGCTGCCTTGCTGTCATTAATGCATGTGAAGCTTCACACATCAGATCAGGGACATGTTCAGTGAGCCAGACCTAATCCCAAAATAAACACTGCCCAACCCTCTCAGGTGAGGTCGCTGTAGTGTAGGAAAGACCACATCAAAGGAGAAGTTGGCCTTCTCTAAGAGTTAAATTTTTTTATGCTTTAGAAATGATATGGCTAAGGAGGAAAAGCTCACATGAAATTTTAAAATCTCAGTTTTAAGCAGATGAATTGGGGGTATCTCAAAAATGGTCTAATGTGGCAAATAGCCATTCCAAAAATTAAAAATCTTTGCTTTGGTTTGTTAAGCTACTTCAAGTTGAGAGAAAAAAAACCCCCAAAACATAATAGGACATAGACAAATAGTGTTTTGGAAAACTCTGACCTACTTGTCTGAGGTTTTACTCACTTATCACTTCTTTCCTACCCAAAGCAGCTAAGGACACCCCAGATAGCACCACAAAGAGGATCACTGAGAATACACTCCTGAAGTTCATGATGACCAAACCAGGCTGGAGCTAATGAACAACAAATGAAGTTCAAATTTTGAAATTTTCTACAGCCACCAATTGGGTGGTTATACAGATATTTATTTATTTACCTGTGGGTCTTCTCTGTGATCATGATGTGAGGTAGGGTTTCACCCTGCAGAAAAGCAGAAGCTGAAACCCTCACTGACTTCCAGCAGTGAATTGCTTTCTGGAGTATGGATAATCCATTGATACAAAGAAGGTTTGACCAAATTCTTCCCTTTGAGGGTGGGGAGGCCCTGGCACAGGTTTTCCCAGAGCAGCTGAGGCTGTCCCATCCCTGGCAGTGTGCCAGGCCAGGTTGGATGGGGTTTGGAGCAACCTGGGACAGTGGAAGGTGTCCCTGCCCGTGGTAGGCATGGAATGAGATGAGCTTTAAGGTCCTTTCCAACCCAAACCATTTTGTGACTCTATGAAATGTAAGAAGGAGCCTAAATGAGGCTCCCCCACCTCAGAGCAGGGAGAGGCAGCACCTCTGGGGTCCAGGAGGACACACTGGGGCTGCTGGGGGAGCACAAGAGGGAGCCAAGGGCGGCAGGAGAGCACAGGGGGGTCCCAGGGCAGCCTCCAGCCCCAAAGGGCAGCAGTTTACCCCAGCAGTTTACCCCAGGGAGTTCACCTTCCTGCAGCCCTTGTGCAGCCAAGGAGACAGACCCAATTCAGGGAAGCTGGAAGGAATTGAGCAGGGTCATGATCAGATTTCATCAGAGCACATCCTGCCCTGCGTGGGAGCAGAGGCAGCTCCTTCCAGCAGCCCCCAGCTGAAACCTCAGCAGCAAAACCCAAACCCCAGAGCCCTGAGTGCAGCCCTCACAGCCTGGCTGTGCAAACCACCAAAGCCCAGCAAACCTCAGACTGACACAACAGTGGGAGATGCAACTTTGCCACTCAAGGGCTGCTGCTCATTAGTCTGGCTCAAACTGCAGCAGGAGGTACCTGAGAGCAGCTCCAGTGGCATGGGCTGGGCTCAAGAAGCACCTGCTGACCAGCACCTGGCATGGAGGGGAGGTTTGGGAGCAGCTCCCTGGCACCCACAAATGACCACCCCAGACCCATGGACCATCTCCTTCACACCTCCCTCCAGAGACACCTGAACAAGGGGATTTAGCTCAATACAAACATGAATATCTGCATTTTATGAAGCATGAGACAGGCAGAACCACAACAGTTCCCTGCTTCCCCTACATTCCAGCTTGCTCCCTTTTTGTAATTCTTTGGCCTGAGTCCCCTCATCTTCCAGTGCTCCATCCACACTTTCTCCATCTCTGGGTACTGAGGAGCCTGCCTTAAAAAATCCTCTACTCCAAGCTGCAAGAAATCTCCAATTCCTCCCATTTGCATCTGTCTACTTAGAACAGTTTGCCACTCTCTGTGTTTGGAAGAACAGGACAAACACTCAAAGCTGGCTGTGCATCTTGTAGCCCTTCCACCCTCCAAGACATCCCAGCTTGGCTGGAGCCTGGTGTGCCACAGGCTGGCTCCCAAACCTCCTCATTACCTCCAGGGCCTCACCTTGCCATCTTCATGATAGACAAAGATGTTCCTTGTGCTATTGTCCTTCAAGTAAGTGATCTGCAGCCCGTGTGGGTTCCCAATTTTGGCAGGCTGGAAAGTGGCGTTTAGGTGCTCGATCTTCATAATTGCTTTGGGTTCTTTTGCCTGGAAAACACAGCTGGGTGAGCAAGCACCTGAGAAGTGGCTTTCAAACCAAAAACCAGTTCACTTGGTCAGAAAAAAAGGCCTATTTGAGGGCATTAGCTAAAAGCACCTGAATGCCAGCCCACAAAACTCTCTGGTGATGAGAGATCCGAGACTCTGCTCGGATGTCAATGCCAGCCTGGAAAAATGCTCTGTCCTTCTGCAAAATTCAGCAGGGATACAAAGAGACAGCTAACTAACAGGCCAGGGTGCTTTGTGACCCTCCAGCACCTACAGATAGTTCATTCTTGTCCCAAAAGATGGAGGATTATCCCCTTTGCCAACAACAGACCTGGCTGAGAAGTGCCATGTCCATGTCCCCACCTGTCCCATCCTCTCAGGTGAGCCACTGGCTGCTGACTCTGCCTGACGCTGGAGGAACAGAAAACCAGGGAGCTTTCCCTCTGGACTGCATGCCATGCCATGCCATGCAAAGGAGGATTCAGACCCCAGTGGCCACTGCAAGGTGGTGACACCTTCATCACAAGATTTCATCAATATGAAACCCACGTTCACTGGTTGATGCAAAGCCAGAGCTGAGAGAAGCTCCTTTGCTGGTGGTTTGAGAAAAGCCCTATGGACTTTAAAGGGCAACAGAGCAGGAATGTGTGAATGGGCCTGGGGGACATCTCTCCATGACTGTGGTGGAGGAGCAAGAGCAAACCCCACTAAAGGGAGGGTGAGCTGAGCCTGGTGCTCCTGTCCTGGAGCAGCTGGGGATCAGTGCTTATGGAAATTGTAAAATAAACTGGTGCCCTGGGAATTATATGTTCCAGGATGCTCTCACAGCTGCAATCCCATCTGCACACAGCAACCCCAGGTACTCACATCGTTTTTGTTGAAGTACTTCAGAGCACCTTCCCTCTCTGATAACACGAATTTTCGGCTCAAGAATTGCCCATTGTCGCGTCCTCTCTTCCACAGAAATCCTTCTCTGTACCCTGCAGCAGAAAGGAGTCACTGAGAGCCAGGGATAAAGAGCTGTACTTGAAAAGAGAATTGGCATAAAGAAAAGAACTGAGCCTTCAGAACTCAGCAAACCAAGTGTGGGGCTGCTGTGATGAAGAACAGCCCTTCCCCTCCAGACCTGCCCTTCTCCCTCTGCCCTCATTCTCTGCCAGCAGCTTCTGCTTCAGACATCTCCACTCTGAAACCAAGGAGAGGCTCCCTGTGTATTATTGCAGCTCAGTGCAGGGGTGAGCCAAACACAGGGTTGGTGAAGGATGCTGCAGGTATTCCTGATTGCACCTGCTCCCCTCAGCAACACAGATTTTTTAGCATTTAAGGGATGGAGAATAAAATAACTGTGTGTCACCAAAGATGATCTCAAATCATTGCTAACCCTGGCAGGTGGGCACCATCATGGTTGTATATGAACAGAGGGAGGCCCAGAGAGGTTTGCTGAGCTGCCCAGGACAAGGCTGTGAGCCAGGATCACAGTCAGTCTGGAAACCCAGCTCTCCCTGCCCTCTCACATTGGACATTTCACCATTTTGATGTTCTCTTTCCAACTTGTGTCAAAACACAGAATGCAAATTCACTTCAAGGAAGAATTACAAAAACCCAGCACAACCAAGTGTTATCCCATTCTGTGGCTCACATGTTGGCTCTTCCCAGCCCAATCCCTCCAGCTGCTCTGACAAAGCCAGCTGTGATTTCAGTGTACTTTGGTACTGGTTTTTGCTTGCTTCTTTTCTTTTTCTTTTTTTCTTCCCTCCAGGGCTGCATCCTCAGGAGCTGCTCCTCTGCTCTGCCCAAACCTGCACCCCTGTCAGCACCCATCAGTGCAAATCACCATGAGCAGCCCTTGCACCCAGCATGAACCCACACAGGCTCCCCGGGCAAGCTGTGTGTCAGCAAGATGAGTCCTCAAAGCCCTGATCCACAGGGCTGTGAAAGCAGCCAGAGAAGGTGCTGAGAAACAAAGCAAAACTGCAGAGGCACAACAGGGAACAGATCTCACGCTGGAGGGCATTGGAGACAGAAAATTGTCACCATAGGACACGAAAAAACACAAGCACACCGCTGCTCTCACGGTGAAGAAAAAGGGAAGTTTAATTTCTGACTCTAACATTTATAGTTTTCCAAGAGTGACAGTGGATTGGAGGGTGACAGTGCCACCTCTCCAATGACACTGGACAAACCAACAGTCCAGCAACTTTCTCTTCTTCTATAAAGGAACGCAAAACAATGAGTTATTTACAGAAAGTGTGTGAGAAAGTTCACTACAAGAATGTCAACATCAGAAGGCTTAGAAAATCTTAAAAAAACAGGGTGGCATAAAATAAACCCTATCTCCCTTGTCTGATGTGCTGCACTATCTCAGCAACAGCTTTGTATTTTAGAGGCACCTGGTGGTGAGACCTTGGCACAGGGTGCCCAGAGAAGCTGTGGCTGCTTCCCTGGAAGGGTCCAAGGCCAGGCTGGATGGGGCTTGGAACAGTCTGGGATGGTGGAAGGTGTCCCTGCCAGGGCAGGGTGAAATGAGATGATCTTTAAAGTCCCTTCCCACCCAACCCATTCTGATTCTATGGCGGCTGCTCTGCTTAGGTGGAAGCTGAATGACCACAAGCCCTCCAACCCCTGCTGACTGCTGTGTTGGAGCACACAGCACCGTGTCACCAACACGCTTGTTCCTCTCCTGAGGCACAGAACGAGGGCTGCAGCCTCCTGCCACCACCCCATGGATCACCAGCACCCAACCATGAGTGCAGAAAGCACTGCTTGGGCAGGACTGATAAAGAAACACCACTAACATTGCTAACATTGCTAGCACTGCTGCTGCCACCTTTCCTGCATCACTTCTGCCGCCTGCCAAGGAGCAAAATCAACCGCTTTGTTCTGCAGGCTGCTCTGGCACCAGCCTGTGACTCCTGCAAGAGCCCCACCAAGTGTCAGTCAGCCAGCAAATGGCACAGGACACAGCCACACAGCCCAGGTGGGCATTTCTCACCTGGTACGTGTCCTCCAAGGTAAACTGAGGAACTGCCACCTCCACAGCCACCTCATCCCCACAGCAAAACTCTGGGGCAAGGAAAACAGGGCACCAGGCTGAAAAGAAGATAGTGCATGGTCCTGTGCCAGCTGAGGTGGGCTGGGGGCTGCAGCTCCCTCAGGCACACAAAGCTGGCAGCACCCCCTGGGTACTCCATGTAGCCAGCCCTCCCTGCCTGAGGGGCTGCAGAGGAAGCCAGGGAGGGCATTTTGCACAAAGAACATCTGCTGTAGCCACCAACTCTCCATCTGACTTCCACCAGCATTGGGTTCAAGTTCCCCATTTTAAAGAAGAGGGATATTGCTACTTCCCCACCTCAGGAGGCTCTTACAGAGCTGAGTTAATGATGGGGGCTTGGTCTCTGAGAGTGTGGATTACAGGGAGCACCCAAAATTACTTGTTCAGTTTTACCCTTTGCTCTCAGAGAAGAAAAATCCCTCCTGCAAGGAGGACAACCAGATCCACTGGCTTGCAAAAACCAATGGGCATGGACTTCTCCTTCTGCCATCCTAAGCAAGGCATTCAAAACTGGGAATTAAAACCATGTCTGATATTTGGTTTCTTTGGCTCCTTATTTCACAGTTTCACCTGGAAAGAGGCAACACAACTGCTTGTTTCCATGATGTTTCTAGGGCTGTGGTAGCACCAGGTTTGGTCCCAGGCTTTCAGAAGAAACCTGAGTGTATCCAACACACACAAATGCACCACTGTGTTGTTTCTTGCCTTCTTATCTCACTGCAAGACAAAGCATGGGGGGCTGAATAAGAGGAAAAAAAATGTACTTGTACATGTAATCGAAGAGAATCACGTTTTCCTGGAGTTCAGGCAGGGCATCTCCTCCTACAGAAGGCATTTTCTTTCCTCTCAGCAGTTGAAGTGCATTGACCCCAATTCAGAGCTTGGAGATGATTCAAATCCAGCTCCCTCCCTGTGCTGCTAAAATTGCAGGGTGTGCATGGCCACTCCTGTGAGTGCCAGGGCTCAGCACTCAGCCTCATTAGCACGGGGAGGTGTTAATTAGGGCAGGGCAGGGGACAGGCACTCACTGGACACGTGTGCCCACCGTTCCTGAGAGGTTAAGGAGCTGCATCATTATCGGGAGCAGCTGAGTGTGGAGTCCCTGACATTGCACATCACCTCTGGCCCCGAGTCACAGCCTCCTTTTGGAACAAAGAGTCTGAAGGACATTCCTCTGAAATGAACCCTGCTGCCCACAATGAGAGGGCTGGATGGAGAAGGTGGCAAATTCTGTATTTTCCTTACAGACTGGACTTTGAACAGGGGTGCAAAAACAACTTGTTTAGCCATGCCAGTGTGAATGGTTTGACTGCTCTAGGTTTTAACATTTCTTCCTGCAGCACTCAGCCACCATCAAGGCAAGACATTTCAATCAATTCAACTTGCATACTCCGAGAATTTGCATTCCAATAAAAGTCATAAACCAAGGAAAATGAAGTTTGCTCATGGAGTGAAAACATCACTCTTTGCCCAGGTGTAAGCAGGGTCCAGGTCCTCAAATCCCTCAGAGCTTGCACCCTGCTCCCCTGCACAGCACCAGCAGATTGCTCTTTTTGCCTGATTTTTTTGCCTGTTTGAGGAGCTCAGAAGTTCCCTGCAACAATCCATCTCTGGATAATGCATTTCCTGCAGGTCCCACAGTGAGCAGTGCAGACACAGCCATGCTGGAGGTGTCTCAGCATCCCCAGGGCAGGAGGCACCTGATGCTGAGATGGAAATCCTTCCCCTCCTGCACTGGCCAGGTCAGGAGGCACCAGGAGCTGCTGCTGCCCCTGCACAGTTCAGCTCTTTGGAAATTACAGCCTCAGCAAGCAGCAAATGAGGCTCAGTGATGCTCCAGCCCCCAGGAGCCCTGAGAGGTCAGTGCTTGGTGCTCCTAAGGCAGGGTGGGTGATGGCTGAGAAGGGAATGATGTCCCTCCATCTCCCTCAAGACAACTTTTCCTCCCCATTTAGGACACCACATCCTCCTCACAGCTCGTCCAGCCAGGCCAAGGAGCCCAGAGCTCCAGGTGCTCCCAAGTGCAGCACCCTGACACCCACACCATGTTCTTGTGCACACACGTGTTAGAGGGACAACATTCCCCAGCTCCTAATCAATCAGTCCTCTCCTAACGAGCACTTAGCATCCAAATTACCTTTCCAAAAGGCCATTTCACAGAGAAGGGTTTCATGTTGTCATCCAGTCTGCCTCTGCTGCCTTCCAGGAGCTCATAAAACAATTATTGTCCCACTGCATTGTCACTTCAGCTATGGATGCAAGCAGCTGATGAGACTGATTGCTTCCACAATACCCAATTAACCCACTCACTCTGCCAACGATTGACTTAATCAAAGGCAATTAGTGCTTGAATGGCTACAGCAGACAGAAAGCCAGGATTTAGTGGATGATTCAGATAATGTTGTGCAGACATCTCCTTGGCCTTCTGAGGGAAAACATCCTCACCAATGCTCAGCTCAGGGCTGGAAGGAGATGAAACCTCAGGTCGGTGGTGTGAGGTGGCACAGAAAGGGATTAGGAACACACACTTCTCTTTACTGATAAAAGGAGAACTTGCAGTGGCTGATGTTCCCTTTTTCCTACTTTTTCTGCTCATGCAGGGCCCAGAGCACCAAGGAGTTGACCAGGCCTCAGTGACCAACAGGTCCTGAAATGGCAACTTGGATCTGAAGTCAGATCCAAACAGCCAACACTGTTTTACAAAACCACCTTCAATACTGATTTCTTCCTCAGCAACTTCTCCCACAATGTAAAAAAAAAACCCACCCCAAAAGACTCATTTAGAGGCAGGACCACATCTCTGTAGAAAGGCAGGTGTCAGTGTCCTCAGGGACCTTTTCCTCCAGACAAATCACCCCAAACTGGCCCAGCAGGGACCAGACAAAGCCTCACCATGGGAAGTCAAGAACAACCCATGACACCTAAAGC